CTGCATCAAATTAACTTGCTTCGGTTGTTCAGGGGAGATCAGAGTGCATGAGTCATGAAATGGACGTTGTGATTGAGGACGGAAATGCAGAAAAGTTATTTTGAGTACAAAGATTATACGGCATGCGTGATCAGCTACACCAAGAGCAGTTGCAGAAGGCCACTGTTTTGGTCAGGTGAAGTATCCTAGAAAATGTGAGATGAGCATTGACAAGGAAGATGGAGAGAAATATTCATTGTTATATATTTTCTACCACTTTACTGAATGTTATGCCTCTTACCACTGTTCATCACCGACCTTAACATACAGTCTCTATCCTCAGGCCAAAAAATTATATTTGGATTAGTAAACCCTCTGAGAAATCGAAAAAGGTCAAGGAACCCGTTCTGCCCACAGGTTTTCAAATAGTTTACAAATAAACATCGTGAGACCAGAAATTGTAGTAGACTAATGGCGACAAAATCCTAGAGAACACGAAAAGGAGAAACCTAAAGTGCATCGGGTCAGTTTTGAAAGACATTTCCCTCATGCTGTGCGAAGAACTAGCTACACCAACCATGCTGCAAGAGAAGACTAAATGGCAGCGGTTGATACTAACATTCCAAGTCTGTTCGTGCAGTATTAGTTGATTTCGGCAAAGTTACTCACCCAGGAATTTTCGCAGGGTTAATTGCTCTTGAGATTCATAGTAAGCTGAGGGACCAGATTATGGACTTCATTAGATATGAGAGGCAGAGAGAAAGCTTCAACAAGCTCTCGTCCTCGTGGCAATCAGTGATGACTGGTATACGATCCTAGGTCCTCTTCGCTTTTCGTCATATGGTAATAAAGTACAATTGCAAAACAAGTCATCGTCTCATGGTTGCAGTTAACTTCAAAACCTAGAGAACTGTGATTAGTGACGGTTTTACGACAAGACCTGAACAACTTAGTGAAGTGGTCTAGCAACCAATCTTTAAGAGTTTAACACATGCTTAAGTGCGTCATTATGCACAGTGGTCGTAGTAACCTACATGACTACTCGACTAGTGAATTTCCACTGTCCAAGGCTAATGAGTATGAAAATTTAAATCATTGCAACTCATGGTCTTAGGAATGCAGCAAACTGTAGTGTAGCGCCCACCAAGGGTTTGTGAGAACTACGTTCGTTTCATAGTGTCCTCATTCAGGACCAGTTGTAACGACCAGGTGTTGATCAATTTCCGTCTAGCCTGTGGGTACATTGTTGCAGCGGGTGCGCAGAAGTGTGGGTATAACGATGACCACAAGAACCTTGAAGAGGGAAGGAGAGAAGAAAAAGGTGAGCCAACGACACAGTAAGCACAAACTTTCGGATATCACATCAAATATATATTAGACTGCATTTAGAATCCAGGATCCAAACGGCAGAAACATGTTCCAAAAACGAAGCACATATCATAGAAGGGACTGCAGGGTATGGATTTCAATCCCAAAACTCCACCTTACTGGAAATTGCACGGCGCTAATATAGTACTTCATTTCTCTACCGCTAGTCCCAGAAACTGAGCTGGTCAACAAGCACTTTGTTGCTTGTCCTAATTTTCGTTAGTAACTACTGACCAAATATTGGTATTTAAATATTTAACGGTGTGGTTTAAGAGGTATGCACTGGACAAAACCCGCAGCTTACAAAGGTTGCAGTAAACCTGCATCATTTTGCCTATCCAACTTCTGTTGTAAACCACTCACCGTTTTGATTCAAAAAGCTGTTGGCTGTGTGATCTCTAAGACGATTTCACAAAATTTTGCTGATAATATTATGGGGAGCTCAGAGTCTGACGACACGTCACTCCAAGGAGGAAGTAGAAGTAGGTAGGTATGACAGTCATTGAAGTACGTACATACGTGCAAACATCTGTCCCTATGACTTTGTGTCTGACTGACAATAACAAGATCAACGTGGGACCTCGCACACAGGTACATCGGCTCACGTTGCACACTCCACAATAGTATACAAACAACAGATGGATAGAAAAAGTAACATCAACATGAACAAAGTTCTATGAGAGAATAAAGAGTCTGAAGATAATGATTAGTGCACGTATTCAACCCTTAGATGTCAAGCAGTGAATAAATCTGCACCATTGTGGAATCAAAGGTACCTTAGGTTATATACATTAGTATGTATATAACAAAACTGAATAGGAACGGTGACAGCGGGCATCCCTGGTGGACACTAGTCGTCGTCAATTCACATGACAACTCTACATAAGCCCTCATACGGCTGCGTCAGTTCGGGTAGAGAGCTTTAATTAGCGTTATATATTTGCTCGGTACTACTTTCACAGTCATACACTGTCACAACACATCACCGTCGACAGAGCCGAATGCCACCTCCAGGTCAAGAAGTATGCCTAGTGTCCGCCGCCGGTAGGTATCCCTGCGTACCAAGACCTGTCGGTGGGTGGAAATATGATCGAGCTTGAGTTAGATGTAGGATAACTAAGGATCCTAGAATCTCGGAAACACTATTAGTCAGACTAATTCCCTTTTGCTTGTCACAGGAAGACTACTCTCCCTTTTCATAGACTGGGATGATCAGTGAAGTACACCAGTCTGACGGCACTACCTCTGATTCGCATACACTACCTGGTACTTTCGTTACTCTACTCAGCAATTTCCCATCTCTATCCCTGAAAACCTCAAGTGACAAACTGTCAAGTCCTACAGCTTTGCATTGCTTCAGACTCGATACTGCCTTCTCAACTTCAAGGGGAGTTGGAGGATCGACATCTACGTCCCATGCAGGTTCAAGCTGGATATTGGGCAACTCAAGCGTTGGTGAGGGCCAGTTGGACTGTGCTTCACAGTCTTCTGCCCAACATTTTAGCCGCCTGTCTTAGGAGGTTATCAGCGTCCCATCCTTTTCGGTGATGGTGTATGAAATGCGAGATAAAGTTGAGGGTCTGCTACTCCACTTCGTAGCAAAAACAGAAACATGAGCACTAGGGGTGGGGTATGGACCTTACACGACTTCTGCCAGGGATCACCTGCATCAGTACTGATAGAGTTAGAGTACTCCAGGCAGCATTGAATATGAAAAGCAATTAGTGTGTGACTCCCAAAATACCTTACTCTCATATTGGACACTTTCTAGTGAGGACTCGGACATCTCAGCAGAATGGAAAGATGCCGTGGTGTATCCATTTTCAAGGATAGCAGTAGGTAACTAGTTACTAACGGTCGCCCGTCGGCTTGACTTGAGTAGTCGTGAGAAATTAATTAGCGCCAAGACACTGAGTTATGTGGAAACCCGCAACTCATTCGCACAGGAGCACAGGAGCAACACGTCTTCCGACCTAGATGGTCCTGCTTAATCAAATTATCTCGAACCAGGAAAGAATGGGCGGAAGCGAAAGATAATAAACTGTTCGTTAATGTGGTGTTTATCGGTTGTAGTAAGGTGTCTGGCTTAGGCATGCTGAGGAAACCCACAGATTCTGTCATAGATGTCACTGTGCAAGACTTGTTTTGGGTCTACCTGCATGACAGGAGGAAAGGGCTACGCGTATTAAACTGAGTGTAAACCTGGATGCAAATACATCCAGGTGACCTGTCCAAAAGAGATGTCAGCTCATGGGTGTACACGGAAAATTATTAATTTGGCTTAGATATTATCTGTACACCAGGGTGCAGTCAGTTAGAGTTGGCTCCTCTCTATTTAATTGGTTCCCGATGCTGAGTGGTGTGCCTCAAGATTCTATACTGGGCCCACTATAGTTTTTTGCTTTCATCAATGACCTACCAGAGGTTTTTAATTCACATTCACTATTATATGCCAATGATCTGAAGATTTGGAAGGAAATACAGGAGCCAACGGATATTTCAATCTTCCAGAAGGACTTTACGAAAATCCTTAATCGGACTACAGAAAACCTACTTCCTCTCAACTCGAAGAAGTGTCGAATTATGATAGTTGAAAAACATAAAGGCAGTCCCAGTTCTTAATCTCTGGGTGAAATAAATATCAGACACTCTAACATCGAACAAGATCTGGGAGTTACACCAAACGATACACTAGGAGCCTCAGTTCACTATCGCCTTGCAGCCAACAGGGCGTATGGAATCCAGGGATTTCTCTCCTTCTTTTTTCACAACAATTTATGCTCTGTACATTCGCCCTCATTTAGAAAAAAAACTCGCTTGTGATGTCCCCATACTTGAAAAAGGACATTGCCATCCTAGAACGGGTACAGAGAAGAGCTACAAAGAAAGTGATTGGGTTGCGGCACAAACCGTACCCAGACCGCTTAGTTGCTCTTCAGCTGCGCCCAGTACAATACCGGAGGATCAGAGGGGATATGATCATGATGTACCACATCGCCTATAATCCTCTTCTTCCTGACAGATCCCTTCTAAGCTTTGGTCGGAAACGTGACCTGAGGGGTCACCCATTAAGAATAGAGCATGAGAGAGCACGTACAAAGATCAGTGCTAACTCATTTGCGGTTAAAGTCTGTAAACTGTGGAACTCCCTCCCTTCAGCGGTTTTTACAGACACATCCCCTGATACTTTTAAAAGGAGGTTAGACGCACACCTCGAGTCCTATGGTACCGATGGGCTCCACTCGAGAAGCTTTCCCCAGATCAGATGCAGCAATACTGACTTGAGACTAGATTAATTGATTAATCGTATCTCTATCACTTCAGGTTTTTCAGAACTCAGGACGTATTCCAATAAGACAGACGTGGAACCCAAGGAACCACCCTTCACTAATTCCACAACACGAAGTTTGAATTCACTGCTAGGCACCACCAAGCAAGCAAAAGTATCGATTGTGTGCTGGATACGTCATTTTACAAGGCCTAATATTAGTAAAGTTCTTCGGAATTCTCAAGTGAACGCTATGGTATGTCTTAATTTTGTGGCCAGACCAGTAAGCACTATAGATTTTTGTGTGATTGGTCTAAGCAGAGACGTTCAGACACGGCATTGGTTGGTTTTGTCGGAGGTGAAGGTCACCAAAGCTTCTAGTATGTTCTGTTGTGAATGCGACTTAAGTAAGTGGTTTGTATCGCTAACGCGTTTGAGGTTTGTAACGAGGTTTGAACTGCTTGGTCTGTCGTAGAATGCCTAACGCTATTGGAATTGATCTTGGTACTACGTACTCGTGTGTCGGTGTATTCCAGCATGGTAAGGTGGAGATCATCGCCAATGATCAGGGGAACCGGACGACTCCGAGTTATGTGGCATTCACAGATACTGAGCGTCTGATTGGTGATGCAGCGAAGAACCAGGTGTCGATCAACCCTTCAAACACTGTGTTCGACGCGAAGCGACTGATTGGTCGACGATTCGATGACCCATCGGTGCAGAGTGATATGAAACACTGGCCGTTTGAGGTTATTCATGAGGGTGATAAGCCTAAGATTCGTGTTGAGTACAAAGGTGAGCGCAAGACATTTTCCCCGGAGGAGATTTCTTCGATGGTGTTGACGAAGATGAAGGAGGTGGCTGAAGCATACTTGGGTAAGACAGTGACTGATGCAGTGGTGACAGTTCCTGCCTACTTCAATGATAGCCAGCGTCAAGCTACGAAGGATGCCGGTACAATAGCTGGTTTGAATGTGTTGCGAATTATTAATGAGCCTACGGCGGCTGCGATAGCGTATGGTTTAGACAAGAAGGTTGGTGGTGAGCGGCATGTGTTGATATTCGATTTGGGTGGTGGTACTTTCGACGTGTCGATCTTGACGATTGAGGATGGTATATTTGAGGTGAAGTCCACTGCTGGTGACACACATTTGGGAGGTGAGGACTTTGACAATCGAATGGTGAATCACTTTGTACAAGAGTTCAAGCGTAAACACAAGAAGGACATCAAGACAATAAGCGTGCATTGCGTCGTTTGAGGACGGCGTGTGAGCGTGCGAAGCGCACATTGAGTTCAAGCACTCAGGCTGACCTGGAGATTGACTCGTTGTATGAAGGTGTTGACTTCCATACGACGATCACTCGTGCTCGATTTGAGGAGCTGAATGCAGATTTGTTCCGTGGTACTTTGGAGCCGGTTGAGAAGGCTTTGAGAGACGCTAAGATGGACAAGTCTCAGATTCATGATATAGTGTTGGTTGGTGGTTCGACGCGTATTCCTAAGGTGCAGAAGATGCTGCAGGACTTCTTTAACGGTAAGGAGTTGAACAAGTCTATAAATCCTGACGAGGCTGTTGCTTATGGTGCAGCTGTGCAGGCGGCTATTCTGAGTGGTGACAAGTCGGAGGCTGTTCAGGACCTGTTGTTGCTTGATGTGGCTCCATTGTCGCTGGGTCTTGAGACAGCTGGAGGTGTTATGACGGCGTTGATTAAGCGTAATACAACGATTCCTACGAAGCAGACTCAGACGTTCACGACGTATTCGGACAACCAGCCAGGCGTGCTTATCCAGGTGTATGAGGGAGAGCGTGCGTTGACGAAGGATAACAATTTGTTGGGTAAATTCGAGCTGTCCGGTATTCCACCTGCTCCTCGTGGTGTTCCTCAGATCGAGGTGACGTTTGACATTGACGCGAACGGGATTTTGAATGTGTCAGCTGTGGACAAGAGTACTGGTAAACAGAACAAGATCACCATCACGAATGATAAGGGTCGTTTGTCTAAGGATGATATTGAGCGTATGGTCTCGGAGGCGGAGAAATTCAAGGCTGAGGATGAGAAGCAGAAGGACCGTGTTTCTGCGAAGAATTCACTGGAGAGTTATGTGTACGCGATGAAGCAGCGAGTGGAGGGTGACGAGTTGAAGGACAAGATATCGGAGAGTGACCGTAAGACGATATTGAGCAAGTGTGATGAGGCGATCCAGTGGTTGGACCACAACCAACAGGCGGAGAAGGATGAGTATGACTACCACCAGAAGGAGTTGGAGAAGGTTTGTGCTCCGATAATCACGAAGATGTACCAGGCAGCTGGAGGTGGTGGTATGCCGGGTGGCATGCCAGAAGGTTTCCCGGGTGCAGGTGCAGCTGGTGGTGCCGGCGGCAAGGGACCAACAATTGAGGAGGTTGACTAGTGTGTCATCGGTGCTTGTGTTGCTGTATATTTATGTGTATATTAGTAATTGTTAAATAAAACTGGATTCAATGTGTGTTGTGTTTTCTGGCGTTTATTAGACGTTATTTCGGGGTTAAGTGGGTCTGTATGTTGTTCGGTCGAGTGTTGGTTTAAGTCGTGGTGTGCGTTGTTGCAAAGTGGATTGGTTTTGGCAGAGAAGTTAACTCCATTCGCTTGGTTTCAAGGTGGCTTTGTGTAAGGCAGTACAAGTGGTAGGTGACCTTAGAGATGTGCAGTAGATGAGGCGGGTTTGGGGGTAAGAAAAGCGGGCAGTCTGAGAGATGTAAAGCAGTCTATTCAGTTGCAGCGTGATTTTTGAGTGACTGAGTTGAAGGTGGATGTCACTCGTTGTTGTCTGTATGGGGTGTAAATACGTTCAGAGCGTAAGATGGACATCTGTTTCGGGATGTGGTTTAGCTGAGGAGTGATTGTGGAGGTTACTGACGGGTGGTGTGTATATATGAAGTGTGGCTTGTCTGGCTGAGAATACTCTGTAGTATGGGGGTAAGACGGGGACTATTGTGGATTGTCGTTCCGCGGTAAAGAATCCATTCTCAACACGCTCTGTAAATAGGTCTAAATCCCATTTGCTTGAGTTATTGGGTGTTACACTGTAACTTGTTGTTATTACCGTCTCACAGCATAGTGCAACTAGAGTGAGAATGTTCCTACTCGTAGAGGGGTTGTTCTGTAAGGTTGTGGATACTGTTAGTGTTTGATGTAATTGAAGTTTGCTTGTCACTCCCAGTGGCGTTTTCGAGATATGTTTCTTAAGCCATGTAGGACGATGCAGACTAAGTGGTTGGGGTCCACGGGACAAGAGGAACCAGTGGTTGGAGACCCTAGGTGATATGGCTCAGAACCGAAGTCAGTGGCGCAGATGTATACACACATTATCCTCATCTTAACAACGCTATACCGAATCTCACTATTTTGTCACTCCTCTTTCCTTTCTTCTCGTACTTTATATTTCCTTTGACTGCATTCACTTATCTTCATCCTTCACCTCACTACCTTTTACTTGATGTGCTGATATGAGGTGTGGCAACTCGGACCGTTACGCAGTAATGCCTGGTCCTATGTTGATAATGATGATGATGATGATGAGATATGTTTCTTACTTTAGAAATGAATATCGTTTACTGCGATGAAGCCCTTTTTAACAATTTGTAGTGACTCGTTTCATTACGTTGACAACTTTATGTAACTGAGAAGTTGGGCTACCGGTTGGTGTCTGGGAGGTGACGAAACCTCATCATTCATTGAGATGGCTGGATTAACCAGTAAGAATGGTGAGTTAATAAGTACAGATATTTAGTCTTCAGGCGATTACCATAAGAGATTTCGTAATATTTGGCAGCTCATTTACGTTTAGGAGAAATAGCTGACTAGCCCCAAACCAGTCTTGCACAGCGACGTCTATGACAGAATCTGTGGGTTTCCTCAGCATGCCTAAGCCAGACACCTTACTACAACCGATAAACACCACATTAACGAACAGTTTATTATCTTTCGCTTCCGCCCATTCTTTCCTGGTTCGAGATAATTTGATTAAGCAGGACCATCTAGGTCGGAAGACGTGTTGCTCCTGTGCTCCTGTGCGAATGAGTTGCGGGTTTCCACATAACTCAGTGTCTTGGCGCTAATTAATTTCTCACGACTACTCAAGTCAAGCCGACGGGCGACCGTTAGTAACTAGTTACCTACTGCTATCCTTGAAAATGGATACACCACGGCATCTTTCCATTCTGCTGAGATGTCCGAGTCCTCACTAGAAAGTGTCCAATATGAGAGTAAGGTATTTTGGGAGTCACACACTAATTGCTTTTCATATTCAATGCTGCCTGGAGTACTCTAACTCTATCAGTACTGATGCAGGTGATCCCTGGCAGAAGTCGTGTAAGGTCCATACCCCACCCCTAGTGCTCATGTTTCTGTTTTTGCTACGAAGTGGAGTAGCAGACCCTCAACTTTATCTCGCATTTCATACACCATCACCGAAAAGGATGGGACGCTGATAACCTCCTAAGACAGGCGGCTAAAATGTTGGGCAGAAGACTGTGAAGCACAGTCCAACTGGCCCTCACCAACGCTTGAGTTGCCCAATATCCAGCTTGAACCTGCATGGGACGTAGATGTCGATCCTCCAACTCCCCTTGAAGTTGAGAAGGCAGTATCGAGTCTGAAGCAATGCAAAGCTGTAGGACTTGACAGTTTGTCACTTGAGGTTTTCAGGGATAGAGATGGGAAATTGCTGAGTAGAGTAACGAAAGTACCAGGTAGTGTATGCGAATCAGAGGTAGTGCCGTCAGACTGGTGTACTTCACTGATCATCCCAGTCTATGAAAAGGGAGAGTAGTCTTCCTGTGACAAGCAAAAGGGAATTAGTCTGACTAATAGTGTTTCCGAGATTCTAGGATCCTTAGTTATCCTACATCTAACTCAAGCTCGATCATATTTCCACCCACCGACAGGTCTTGGTACGCAGGGATACCTACCGGCGGCGGACACTAGGCATACTTCTTGACCTGGAGGTGGCATTCGGCTCTGTCGACGGTGATGTGTTGTGACAGTGTATGACTGTGAAAGTAGTACCGAGCAAATATATAACGCTAATTAAAGCTCTCTACCCGAACTGACGCAGCCGTATGAGGGCTTATGTAGAGTTGTCATGTGAATTGACGACGACTAGTGTCCACCAGGGATGCCTGCTGTCACCGTTCCTATTCAGTTTTGTTATATACATACTAATGTATATAACCTAAGGTACCTTTGATTCCACAATGGTGCAGATTTATTCACTGCTTGACATCTAAGGGTTGAATACGTGCACTAATCATTATCTTCAGACTCTTTATTCTCTCATAGAACTTTGTTCATGTTGATGTTACTTTTTCTATCCATCTGTTGTTTGTATACTATTGTGGAGTGTGCAACGTGAGCCGATGTACCTGTGTGCGAGGTCCCACGTTGATCTTGTTATTGTCAGTCAGACACAAAGTCATAGGGACAGATGTTTGCACGTATGTACGTACTTCAATGACTGTCATACCTACCTACTTCTACTTCCTCCTTGGAGTGACGTGTCGTCAGACTCTGAGCTCCCCATAATATTATCAGCAAAATTTTGTGAAATCGTCTTAGAGATCACACAGCCAACAGCTTTTTGAATCAAAACGGTGAGTGGTTTACAACAGAAGTTGGATAGGCAAAATGATGCAGGTTTACTGCAACCTTTGTAAGCTGCGGGTTTTGTCCAGTGCATACCTCTTAAACCACACCGTTAAATATTTAAATACCAATATTTGGTCAGTAGTTACTAACGAAAATTAGGACAAGCAACAAAGTGCTTGTTGACCAGCTCAGTTTCTGGGACTAGCGGTAGAGAAATGAAGTACTATATTAGCGCCGTGCAATTTCCAGTAAGGTGGAGTTTTGGGATTGAAATCCATACCCTGCACACCCGTTGTAAGATACATGGTTTGTGGAAAACAACTAGTGCTGCACGAAGAGGGTTGGAATGTTAGTATCAACTGCTGCTGTTCAGTTTTGTCTTGGGATATGTTTGGTCGAGGAAAAATGACGGATAGTGGCTTAGGTGGATAAATGAGAAGTAGACGACGGTTTGTCACGCCGTGAATAAAGGAATTGGTCCGCGATAACGTATGAGGAAAGGTGGCTGAAACGTTGGGCGGAAGATTTAATAACAGTTCAAATTGCCTGCAGCCATCTCTGCGCTTCCTGAAACGTAGTGCGAAACCAATTTAAATGGAGATGTCGGTCATCGAATTCGAGGAGGCTGTGTCAAACATAAAAGTACGTAAAGCAAGTGGAAAAAAAGGCCCACCACTGAAGGTTTTAGAGAATAGAGTTGATGAACTACTGAGTAGAACAGTGGTGGTACTATCTAGTGTACTGAAATTAGACTGTTGTAGGTCGCAGAAAATGTCAGTTCATAAGAAGTGAGAGGTCTCATTCAGACAGCCATAGGGGAGTCAATCTGACTAATATCGAGTCTAAGATCGCAGTTTACATTTTATTCTAACACCTAAGTGAAGCTAGAGAACAAATCCTCGAAGAGTCGAGGCAGGTTTCAAGTCTGGATTCGGATGCATGTGCAAGATCTTCATCCTTACACAAGTTTGTAAACACAAACTTACCAATAGCCGAATTTCACTGCATTTCTTAACCTGGAGGTGGCAGCCAACTCCAACAACCAAGAGGCGTTGTACCAGTTTCTCACTGTCAAGTGAGAAACAAGCGACGATATTCTACTAATCAAAGCTGTCCGCTCGTTATTTGATACAATGTTGTCAGGTCTCTATCTCTCCTACCTGCAGCCTGTTCTGCTTCACCTGCAAGTGTGCCGTAGAAGTATCTTTTGTCTTTGCGCGCATTCTTCTTCACTTCTTTGTCCAGTGTAGTGTTTTATAGGTTGTGTTCAGTTCCTCTTTTCGTTGTACATCATTTCACTGCACTGGTTCACCTTCTGCCTCACCATCTTCCTCTCCTCTATCAGCCTCCATATGGAGATCCGTTTCTTGTCTTGCTTTCTCTTCCTTCCTAACACGGTTATGCAGGCTACCTTCAAAGTAGTCGCTTTCACAGAGTTCCAGTGTTCTTCCACGCAGGTTTCCTCGGCGATGTTACCTAATGTCCCATTTTGTCCTGATAACTGACGTGAAGATGTCCTTTGTAGTTTCGTCCTTCAGTTTCTGTTCTGGATGTTGAACTTGAACTATGTTATGTCATCACCAGCTGTTTTGAAGGTTTTCAACTTGATTTTGAAAATTCCTTGCACTAGATAGTGAGTGGTGTTAACCTACATCTGCTACCCTCTGTTTTAATCGTGTTTGCTTTTCTCGCTGTTTTCTTGAACATCGATGAATAGAGAACCTAGTCTTAAACGCTATGCTCCTCAGACTGATGTGCCTGTAGTTATCACAAAAGGACTTATCACTTTTCTTTGAGACAGACATTCAGTAATTGAGATCAGTCAGAAAGTGTCATATCTGACTCCCATGCACTAGCTAACTCTTCATTTAATTTGGCCAGTAGTCCTCTGCTACCGTCCTTACATGAGTGCGGTAGTAGCTTGTCTTGCCGTGCTGCTGCCTGTTGTCTCAGGCTACTTAACGCCTTCTCGACTCCGGAAAGTATTCGAGGTGTTATCTCAATGTTCGACTCAGGACCCCATTAGATAGCGGGCGACGGAATAGTGGCTGAAGACCAGCTGAACTATCCCTCGAAGTGTTCCACCCATCTTTCCCTAATATAGTCACTAACCAATGACTTTTTTTGCCCCTATTTCCGTAATAAGCCTGAATAACTAAGTTTCTACATATCGCCGCGGCCTTTTCCATCTCCTTAGCCTTTGCTGTCCTTCACTGTTCGCAGTCACTGGGTAACTATTTTGTCAGCTTACATTTGAGTTGCTTCCGCTCCTCATTGGGCTTGCAGCCCGCAGGATTTCGTTCACGTACATCCATTGATTCTAGAGTTGTTGAGACTCACTGATCCTGTCTCATCCTTTGTAAGAGTCAGCTAAGGTCGTTATCACAGCTTTTACACCGGAGTAGAGATATCATCAGGCTTATTCTGGATGAGGGATGTTACTCTCTTCCGATAACTGTCTCACCAATTTCTCAGTGTAAACAGCCTTAGTATTTTGCTCATCAAGCTGTATTCGTCATGGTCATGTTTCTGTAGTTTTCTCATGTGCATTTAGGCGCAGCCATGCGCGTTGTCGTTGTCCAAATAAGTGTTCTAGAATGAGCAGCAGTCATCCACTAACCCTCTTCAGCGATGACTGATACCAATGTGGTCTACCTGTGTCCAGTGATGAGCTAAGGTCGGTGGACGCCATATCAAACAGTGTATTTCTTTGTCTGAAGTTCATGCTGGTCAGAAATAAATGAATGTTTGAGCATAGTTGTAGCTGGCGATCGCCGTTATCTGTTCTTTCGGCTTGGATTCTGAAGGTGCCACCTAAGTGCTTTTGTGCCTGACTTAGTCAACCCACTTGCATGTTAAAATGACCTGAAAAACTACCTCGTCTGAACGTTTGGCTTTCTACGTCTAGCTTCCTACTGACAGTAGGAAGCTAGACGATTTCCGGTTGAACTCATCATGTGCTTCCGCACTGCAGTCAGCAGGTGTGCAGGGATTACAAGGAGACAACGGCGTCTCCCACTACTCTTTCTAATCCTTAATGTACCATTTGGTCGAACAGCGCATAGGCGAATGTCAGCTGGGATCCAGTTGAATAGTGAGCTTTCTGCTTTAGCGCGAGATCGCGAGAATTAGCCGTGAGTCATATAGATTCGCCGTATTGGCCGGGTGAGGTTAAGTGAATAACTGCACTTGGGTCCTATATGCCTGTCTCACATACAGTACACATCCATGGCCCGAGTTGTTATTTTTGACCAGCAAAGCTTTTCCGATTTGGTGGAGGGTGCAGACATTGAAATCTCCAATATCTGGTTTAGAGTGCTAACCTAGGAGACTAAAGATTTTGTTCCGTGAGCTCGAATCGTTACCGAGAGCTTCAGAGCTGAGGCGAATCAAAGATGATGTAGGAACATTCACCGAAAGATGTGAAAGAAGATTAGAAGACTATGATGTGGATGGTACACTGATCTGAGGTAACTTGAGTACTGACAGAATTGTGAGGGCCGTTGATGCTTCCCGGCTGCCCACACCGTGGAAGGCTAGTTCTTCTTCAAGTATATAAAACGAAGGGTTAGTGCGTGACCGCAGAGCCCAAGGGTTATCTGCTTGATGCCCGCCACATACGACGTTCTTGGAAATTTGGGACTTAAGTTTGTGAGTTTCGACTCCAAATATAGACTCATGACACCTACACCAGCATGCCGCGAGGTAGAAAGAAGTGTGGTATTTTCAGGCTCGACCTTTTCGAAACCCCCTTCCCAAAGGGAAGGCTGCATGGTACTACTGGTCATCTATGGGGAACCTTACTGCTATCACACCCGTCCAGCCAGTAATATGACTTCTCCCTTGAACCTTCTTCATTGTCTAGTAAATCACACTATGACGGTAGCCTCTTTTTGTCTTATCACTATTAAACTGACCTTTTTGAGATGGCGGGACCTCGAAAAATCAAGCGTCTCACCAGCATAGCTCGTTGGGTCACCTTGACATGCGAGTCTGACCACCACGTCAAGGTAGCAGCTATCGCTCGGGTCAATGAAAATTTGTGCGAGGCCTTATGTTTGATATCAATCTATATTGTTTTTCAAGACAGCTATTTACTTTTCCAAAACAGCTAACAAAAGTCCAACCCCTATTCGATATCGCTTCATGAACAAATAAATAAATATCCCTTTATCAAGTTTTAGCATCAACATAGAAATGATTTACAACCATTATCTTCACTATTTTAAACATCTTATATATATCGTGTAGAATATTGTTCAATTGTCATATCTAACACGTTTGCTTTTTCTCACGTAGGTCATCATGGCTACAAATCGTGCTGATACATTAGACCCAGCACTTCTACGTCCTGGACGACTTGATCGTAAAATTGAATTCCCAATGCCAGATCGTCGTCAAAAGCGTCTCATTTTCTCAACTGTTACTAGTAAAATGAATCTCAGCGATGATATTGATTTGGAGGATTATGTGGCACGACCAGATAAGATATCTGGTGCAGATATCAATGCAATTTGTCAAGAGGTGATTATTTCCGACAATATTTGTTTTGATAACTACACGTAATTAAACTTGATAAGTGTCTAGGAACGGAAATTGAAGGCTTTATTATGTTCATAAATAACTTTTAGCCTACAGCTTAGTTAAAGTATATTCAAGCAAACTTTTCATACCATATCAACAGTTGAACGAATATTATTGTTGCAATTTTCAGGTCTTTTTGTATGTTTTCATGTTCCCTTTATCACTTTTTGTTTGTTTGTCTTAGGCTGGTATGCAAGCAGTTCGAGAAAATCGGTATGTCGTTTTGGCGAAAGATTTTGAAAAAGGGTACAAAAATAATCTGAAGAAAGATGAACAGGAACTGGAATTTTATAAATAATACAATTTTTCCGTCTTATTGATCACAAAAATAAAAGTCTATATCATTACCTCTGATAACTTACCTCGTGGTACTTGTAAATAAATAAACCAACCTAAAACAAAATCTTTCTCTCTAGCGTTATTTATGGTATACTTTTCATATTATTTCACTATTAGTTGAGAGTAAAACGAGTTGCAGTTCCCATCTGCAGTGTAATTTTTACGCGCGTAAAAGCTGAATGTCATATCTATTTGTGCTTCTCAGATGTCCATCTGAACAAGTCGAGACATCGGTTCCTTTTTGCTTAACTTAAGCTCTATTCTCCCTGAAGTACAGTAATCGAGTGTCTTTGCAACAAGCAACCAAGATATAACAACCGAAACCCCTCATACGAGGCGCACAACATACACAATTCATAAACAAGTATTACGATTTTAGCCGCATCACACTGAACCATATGTCAACATCGCAACTAAGTACACCTACACCACCAAAACAAGGAAACCCCACCTTTCCCCTGTTAACATTCGTATCTAATTTTATTACTAATGCACTGATGGGCACTTTCCTAAGTGCCTCCAGACCTCCCAGGAATTTAATTCTTTAAGGACATGTAGCTGATATAGAAGACGTACATGACATCATCCTGTTAGACGGAGATGGTAACAAAATCCAGATGTTTAGGTATTCATGGGAAATCTCAGTATGTTTGACAAGCGTTTTATACCTTTCAAATATAAGACCATACTTCAAGACCGATCTCCACTAACTCCTAATGTAACGGTAGTAAGTGGTTGGGTGGGACCCGTCCAACACCTTACTTACTTGGAGAGTTCTCTGTTCGAATGAGTCGGTCACTGCTTAACTTCGATTCAAAAAGCACGTTTCACATTCGTCAGCAGTGAGCTTGTGCACCTTCATCGACTAAGTGGGCTTGGATATGATGTGATGTGCATAAAGAGCCGCTACCTGGCTGGATATACTGTATTAACTTCCATCTGTTCGTCCTCTCTCCCCTCGTACACCTTTATCTGGTACACAAAACCAACGTGGAACCTCGCACAGAAGTGCGACGGTCCAAGTTGCGACTCTTCACAGCATCATGTAAAGAAAGAGTTGATAGAAAAAGACTGGGACTAAGCTATACAGAGGTGTACGGGAGAAGAAATAATTTGAAATATCATGTTTGTCAAGACGATCAAGCTTAGGAAGGTGTCAAAGCGTGAATACATGTGCACCGTTGTGACTGATTTTCATTCATTGACTCCTTTCATCACGGGTACCCTAACCAGGCAGTCTACAACTCTTCATACGACTCAGACCAAGAGTCAGAGACACGACAAGTTGCGGTCACGTTGCAGTCTGGTCACCCTGAATCATCTTCAAACCTAGTCCAACTTCTCATAGCACTGCACCTCGAGGTGGGCGGTGTTTCTGCACGTGCAGCGCGTGTCCAAGCCAGCTCAGTCACTGAAATCTCACAACCTCATCGACTGACGTTCTTTCCTTATCTAGTACCTTTCACCTAACCTCTACATTGCTCACATGGTGATTCCGTCATAGATGAGCAATGCTACGAAGACACTTTTAACGGCCATGTCTCAAAGCCATATAACGGGACAGAACGGACTACAGAGAAGTATTATTATTACTATTTATCGCTTGGGTTCCTAGTGGAACATAAGGCTTCAGTAGCACATCTCCGTTCCACTCTGTTCTCTGCAATCTTTCCAACCTGGCTCCATGACTGCCCAGAAGTTCTCATTTCTCCCTTCCACGATCTCCATGTCACCCTCGGACGCCTAAGCAGAGAAGTATACTCGTTCTTTATTAGTTAGTCGGATATCTCACCAGTCGGCACCCCAAATGAGGCATGTTGGCAAATGCCGAATAGGCCGTCTATATCCGAGTTGGGATTTCGTCAGCAACCAGCCCGTTAGAGCTGATGCAACTTTCCAAGTAAGTGAAGTGGTCGCCACACCACCACTTCACTCCCCTATCATAAAGCTGAGAGTAGTTGCAGACCAGTCCAGAAGCATCATCTCACATTTAACAGGTGAGAAACCCATGCCAAACACAGTCAGATTTCTGCTCAAGGCGTCCGGAAGACTCTGCATTCTGTCAGCGTCTTCACATAGCGGGACAATGTCTTCTGCATACTCCAAGTCAGCCAGATGACCTTCATGGAGTAGATCAATCCCTGTGAAGTCAGAGGTACCTAAGGTTATATACATTAGTATGTATATAACAAAACTGAATAGGAACGGTGACAGCAGGCATCCCTGGTGGACACTAGTCGTCGTCAATTCACATGACAACTCTACATAAGCCCTCATACGGCTGCGTCAGTTCGGGTAGAGAGCTTTAATTAGCGTTATATATTTGCTCGGTACTACTTTCACAGTCATACACTGTCACAACACATCACCGTCGACAGAGCCGAATGCCACCTCCAGGTCAAGAAGTATGCCTAGTGTCCGCCGCCGGTAGGTATCCCTGCGTACCAAGACCTGTCGGTGGGTGGAAATATGATCGAGCTTGAGTTAGATGTAGGATAACTAAGGATCCTAGAATCTCGGAAACACTATTAGTCAGACTAATTCCCTTTTGCTTGTCACAGGAAGACTACTCTCCCTTTTCATAGACTGGGATGATCAGTGAAGTACACCAGTCTGACGGCACTACCTCTGATTCGCATACACTACCTGGTACTTTCGTTACTCTACTCAGCAATTTCCCATCTCTATCCCTGAAAACCTCAAGTGACAAACTGTCAAGTCCTACAGCTTTGCATTGCTTCAGACTCGATACTGCCTTCTCAACTTCAAGGGGAGTTGGAGGATCGACATCTACGTCCCATGCAGGTTCAAGCTGGATATTGGGCAACTCAAGCGTTGGTGAGGGCCAGTTGGACTGTGCTTCACAGTCTTCTGCCCAACATTTTAGCCGCCTGTCTTAGGAGGTTATCAGCGTCCCATCCTTTTCGGTGATGGTGTATGAAATGCGAGATAAAGTTGAGGGTCTGCTACTCCACTTCGTAGCAAAAACAGAAACATGAGCACTAGGGGTGGGGTATGGACCTTACACGACTTCTGCCAGGGATCACCTGCATCAGTACTGATAGAGTTAGAGTACTCCAGGCAGCATTGAATATGAAAAGCAATTAGTGTGTGACTCCCAAAATACCTTACTCTCATATTGGACACTTTCTAGTGAGGACTCGGACATCTCAGCAGAATGGAAAGATGCCGTGGTGTATCCATTTTCAAGGATAGCAGTAGGTAACTAGTTACTAACGGTCGCCCGTCGGCTTGACTTGAGTAGTCGTGAGAAATTAATTAGCGCCAAGACACTGAGTTATGTGGAAACCCGCAACTCATTCGCACAGGAGCACAGGAGCAACACGTCTTCCGACCTAGATGGTCCTGCTTAATCAAATTATCTCGAACCAGGAAAGAATGGGCGGAAGCGAAAGATAATAAACTGTTCGTTAATGTGGTGTTTATCGGTTGTAGTAAGGTGTCTGGCTTAGGCATGCTGAGGAAACCCACAGATTCTGTCATAGATGTCACTGTGCAAGACTTGTTTTGGGTCTACCTGCATGACAGGAGGAAAGGGCTACGCGTATTAAACTGAGTGTAAACCTGGATGCAAATACATCCAGGTGACCTGTCCAAAAGAGATGTCAGCTCATGGGTGTACACGGAAAATTATTAATTTGGCTTAGATATTATCTGTACACCAGGGTGCAGTCAGTTAGAGTTGGCTCCTCTCTATTTAATTGGTTCCCGATGCTGAGTGGTGTGCCTCAAGATTCTATACTGGGCCCACTATAGTTTTTTGCTTTCATCAATGACCTACCAGAGGTTTTTAATTCACATTCACTATTATATGCCAATGATCTGAAGATTTGGAAGGAAATACAGGAGCCAACGGATATTTCAATCTTCCAGAAGGACTTTACGAAAATCCTTAATCGGACTACAGAAAACCTACTTCCTCTCAACTCGAAGAAGTGTCGAATTATGATAGTTGAAAAACATAAAGGCAGTCCCAGTTCTTACTCTCTGGGTGAAATAAATATCAGACACTCTAACATCGAACAAGATCTGGGAGTTACACCAAACGATACACTAGGAGCCTCAGTTCACTATCGCCTTGCAGCCAACAGGGCGTATGGAATCCTGGGATTTCTCTCCTTCTTTTTTCACAACAATTTATGCTCTGTACATTCGCCCTCATTTAGAAAAAAAACTCGCTTGTGATGTCCCCATACTTGAAAAAGGACATTGCCATCCTAGAACGGGTACAGAGAAGAGCTACAAAGAAAGTGATTGGGTTGCGGCACAAACCGTACCCAGACCGCTTAGTTGCTCTTCAGCTGCGCCCAGTACAATACCGGAGGATCAGAGGGGATATGATCATGATGTACCACATCGCCTATAATCCTCTTCTTCCTGACAGATCCCTTCTAAGCTTTGGTCGGAAACGTGACCTGAGGGGTCACCCATTAAGAATAGAGCATGAGAGAGCACGTACAAAGATCAGTGCTAACTCATTTGCGGTTAAAGTCTGTAAACTGTGGAACTCCCTCCCTTCAGCGGTTTTTACAGACACATCCCCTGATACTTTTAAAAGGAGGTTAGACGCACACCTCGAGTCCTATGGTACCGATGGGCTCCACTCGAGAAGCTTTCCCCAGATCAGATGCAGCAATACTGACTTGAGACTAGATTAATTGATTAATCGTATCTCTATCACTTCAGGTTTTTCAGAACTCAGGACGTATTCCAATAAGACAGACGTGGAACCCAAGGAACCACCCTTCACTAATTCCACAACACGAAGTTTGAATTCACTGCTAGGCACCACCAAGCAAGCAAAAGTATCGATTGTGTGCTGGATACGTCATTTTACAAGGCCTAATATTAGTAAAGTTCTTCGGAATTCTCAAGTGAACGCTATGGTATGTCTTAATTTTGTGGCCAGACCAGTAAGCACTATAGATTTTTGTGTGATTGGTCTAAGCAGAGACGTTCAGACACGGCATTGGTTGGTTTTGTCGGAGGTGAAGGTCACCAAAGCTTCTAGTATGTTCTGTTGTGAATGCGACTTAAGTAAGTGGTTTGTATCGCTAACGCGTTTGAGGTTTGTAACGAGGTTTGAACTGCTTGGTCTGTCGTAGAATGCCTAACGCTATTGGAATTGATCTTGGTACTACGTACTCGTGTGTCGGTGTATTCCAGCATGGTAAGGTGGAGATCATCGCCAATGATCAGGGGAACCGGACGACTCCGAGTTATGTGGCATTCACAGATACTGAGCGTCTGATTGGTGATGCAGCGAAGAACCAGGTGTCGATCAACCCTTCAAACACTGTGTTCGACGCGAAGCGACTGATTGGTCGACGATTCGATGACCCATCGGTGCAGAGTGATATGAAACACTGGCCGTTTGAGGTTATTCATGAGGGTGATAAGCCTAAGATTCGTGTTGAGTACAAAGGTGAGCGCAAGACATTTTCCCCGGAGGAGATTTCTTCGATGGTGTTGACGAAGATGAAGGAGGTGGCTGAAGCATACTTGGGTAAGACAGTGACTGATGCAGTGGTGACAGTTCCTGCCTACTTCAATGATAGCCAGCGTCAAGCTACGAAGGATGCCGGTACAATAGCTGGTTTGAATGTGTTGCGAATTATTAATGAGCCTACGGCGGCTGCGATAGCGTATGGTTTAGACAAGAAGGTTGGTGGTGAGCGGCATGTGTTGATATTCGATTTGGGTGGTGGTACTTTCGACGTGTCGATCTTGACGATTGAGGATGGTATATTTGAGGTGAAGTCCACTGCTGGTGACACACATTTGGGAGGTGAGGACTTTGACAATCGAATGGTGAATCACTTTGTACAAGAGTTCAAGCGTAAACACAAGAAGGACATCAAGACAATAAGCGTGCATTGCGTCGTTTGAGGACGGCGTGTGAGCGTGCGAAGCGCACATTGAGTTCAAGCACTCAGGCTGACCTGGAGATTGACTCGTTGTATGAAGGTGTTGACTTCCATACGACGATCACTCGTGCTCGATTTGAGGAGCTGAATGCAGATTTGTTCCGTGGTACTTTGGAGCCGGTTGAGAAGGCTTTGAGAGACGCTAAGATGGACAAGTCTCAGATTCATGATATAGTGTTGGTTGGTGGTTCGACGCGTATTCCTAAGGTGCAGAAGATGCTGCAGGACTTCTTTAACGGTAAGGAGTTGAACAAGTCTATAAATCCTGACGAGGCTGTTGCTTATGGTGCAGCTGTGCAGGCGGCTATTCTGAGTGGTGACAAGTCGGAGGCTGTTCAGGACCTGTTGTTGCTTGATGTGGCTCCATTGTCGCTGGGTCTTGAGACAGCTGGAGGTGTTATGACGGCGTTGATTAAGCGTAATACAACGATTCCTACGAAGCAGACTCAGACGTTCACGACGTATTCGGACAACCAGCCAGGCGTGCTTATCCAGGTGTATGAGGGAGAGCGTGCGTTGACGAAGGATAACAATTTGTTGGGTAAATTCGAGCTGTCCGGTATTCCACCTGCTCCTCGTGGTGTTCCTCAGATCGAGGTGACGTTTGACATTGACGCGAACGGGATTTTGAATGTGTCAGCTGTGGACAAGAGTACTGGTAAACAGAACAAGATCACCATCACGAATGATAAGGGTCGTTTGTCTAAGGATGATATTGAGCGTATGGTCTCGGAGGCGGAGAAATTCAAGGCTGAGGATGAGAAGCAGAAGGACCGTGTTTCTGCGAAGAATTCACTGGAGAGTTATGTGTACGCGATGAAGCAGCGAGTGGAGGGTGACGAGTTGAAGGACAAGATATCGGAGAGTGACCGTAAGACGATATTGAGCAAGTGTGATGAGGCGATCCAGTGGTTGGACCACAACCAACAGGCGGAGAAGGATGAGTATGACTACCACCAGAAGGAGTTGGAGAAGGTTTGTGCTCCGATAATCACGAAGATGTACCAGGCAGCTGGAGGTGGTGGTATGCCGGGTGGCATGCCAGAAGGTTTCCCGGGTGCAGGTGCAGCTGGTGGTGCCGGCGGCAAGGGACCAACAATTGAGGAGGTTGACTAGTGTGTCATCGGTGCTTGTGTTGCTGTATATTTATGTGTATATTAGTAATTGTTAAATAAAACTGGATTCAATGTGTGTTGTGTTTTCTGGCGTTTATTAGACGTTATTTCGGGGTTAAGTGG